GAATCTACCATTTTCTCCAGTTCTGTTCGTTAGTGTTGCATTTGTGATTTGTAACTCTGAAAAGTTCACACAGAGAAGCTCTCTGATAGTCTCTCTTCCTGTTTTTGTGTACTCTCCAGTATTTGTTTCAATATTATTCATTGAGATCCATCCGAGAGTATAGGCACATACTCATGTCTTTTCGGCCTACTCGAGTTGGCTTCTCCACTTTGCTTTTCATAAGTCTTTGTTGTCTCCTGCTTTTGCATCCCATACACCTGACGTTTCTGCTGTTCTAGTTTGTTGTCTTATCCGTACCAAATCTTCATTTCACCAGAGAATATGCCCATTCAATTTCAATTGTTTGTCATAACGGTCGATAGTGAGAGCTTACCTCTTTCAGTATTCTCCCAGGATATATTGTCACCACAGCCAATTAAGAGCTGATATCTGTCTGCTGGGTGAATCCTTTCTAGCTATTTTGAATCCCTGGATGGTAGCGGTTTCTGACTATGTTAAGGAGTAAGCTGATCCAATGACGATTTTCTCAAGACCCCCCTCACCAACTATCTTCAATTCAACTATCGTCCTTGGTACAAAAGTTATTCACCGTCATTATATTCAATCCTCTTCAGATACTCATGCTTATTCTTGGAGTTTATGAGGTTCATCCAGACCTCTCCGAATTCCATAATTTCTCTTCTAGACTCAGGGTTCATGTATGATAGCAATATCAAACTTTCCGATGACCTTCGTCCCTTTACTGTATTGTAGGTTGGTATGTGCTACTCTCAATGTGAGTGAGAGAAGTTGCTAGTAGAGTTCTCCTCATTTTCTTCGTGTTTATGGGCGATTAAATCCTCACGAGTATGGGATGAAGGATTGTCCACATTCAAAGAGGCCTCTCAAAAATGCAAGGTTCAGTACTTTGGCAGATCGCTTGGGATCTCAGAGACTTCGTTGGCGATAGAAAGACTGCCACCTGTACTTCTCCGAAGATAATGGAATAAAAATCATAGATAAACCTCAAGTCAGGGGTCCCAATTCGACCTAAGGGTAAAATTTCATTCCATTATTGGTTTTGATATTCGGCGAAATAGTTGTCAAAAGTCAAACCATCCCTTTTGATCTTGTTTTATGCTTGCTGTAGCAGATGACACAGAGATCGAGACCGGGTGCATAACTATCCAGAAAAGAAAGCTGCTCATGAAGTTGAATATATTATTTACCAATTTCAAGTTCAAAAGGCAACGTAGTGAAAGCAATATGATTAAATTCACTTCGTTATGGATGAAAAAAGCGCCTCGTCTAATTATTTCGTTTCGTTTCACTTCCGTTGATGGGAAAAACATGAAAGAGACGGCGGCGAATCAAAGTATTGTGATGGATAAGGTCAATACCGAGCATTATAATTTGCAGTGAACAAATTATGTATTTGGTGAATGTATTCTTTAGGAAGGTAACTACTACATCAATTGAATTACCGTGATTCCGTGACAAATCAGAATGTGTTGCTATTTTCATCCCATATTGTTTGACGTCGATCAATTAACTACTGAAGTTTTGGGAATCACTCGTTCAGTATCATTTATGTTGACACAAACATAATGAAATATCAGTTGAAACTGTTGAGTATTTGTTGAAAGTATTATCCGTCAATTTTCACCAACTTCGATAATCTTCAGAAACGAGCAAAAAAATTATTTTCGACACTGATTCCAAAACAAAAGTTACTACTGCTGATAAAAAATCGAACCACTTCCAAGATTCAGTGACTGGGCGGATATTATACAGGGTGTAACTGAATAAGTGTAAAACATTCAAGGAGGTGATTTTTCATCGAAAAAAAGATAGGATCTTTCATATAAAGAAACTTCATTGGAGCATCCCTTGTTGAGATACAGCCCCTTAAAGGGGGTACATAAAATTTGTATAACAATTTTTTTCACAAGCACTGAAAAAGTTACAATATTGAAATCAACATGACGTTTTATACTACCAAAAAGACACTTAGCCAGTAATTTATTTGGTTTATCCCATGGTTGTAAGGGGTGGAAAACGTAACCCCTAAAATTTATTTCCAATGTAACTTTTTGTCTTATTATTTGTTTACCATTTAAAAATTTATTTCCGATAGCCTGTTTCGTTCTAAACAAAAAATGTCTCTTGGGTTTTTTGCCCAAAATAAACCAGTTCGCAGCAAAAAATTATTTTATGAACAACTACAGAGATACATCATTATAAATGCGAACTGGATTTATTGTTATTTTGTAGTTAGTACCTGCCTTAAACGATTGAAGGGTAATAAACAAAACTAATGTATTAATAACAAAACACACAACATGTAGAAATCATAGTAAATGTTCAATATGTCTACCTTCAGACATTACGCATGCATCTAGACGTCGGCGCATTGAGCCACATATTCGCTCAAATATTCCTGGAGTCTCTCTGATTACCCTGCACGCATCGATGATGCGGTTTTTTAAGTCCTCTACATCGCGAACAGGAGTACAATAAACCAAATGCTGTAAATGGCTCCAAATAGAGAAATCGAGAGGATTGAGATCCGGAGATCGAGCGGGCCAGTTCTGTGGTCCTCTTCGACATATCCACTGATTTGCATATGTTTTAGTTGAATGCTGACGTGCTACTTGACTCAAATGGGCGGGAGCCCCATCATGCATAAAAAACATATCCCTTCTGATGCCCAAAGGAACTTCCTCCAGCAGTACTGGATGCACTTCTCTAAAGAATTGAACGTATGCCTCACCACTTAATCGAGGAGATAGAAAATGAGGCCCAATTAAATCATCCCAAATAACTTCGAGCCACACGTTAAGAGAAAACTGTTCTTGATTGTTATTTTCGACAATAGCGTGAGGGTTTTCATCAGCCCATATGTGGTAATTATGAAAATTAATAATCTTGTCCCGAGAAAAACTACATTCGTCTGTGAATTCTATCGTCTTCAGAAAGTCACAATTTCTTCTAATCATTTCCAGCATCCAATCGCCAAATTCAAGACAGTTCGGTAAGTCTCGCGGTAACAGTGCCTGTACTCGTTGCAGATGGTAAGGGTATAAGAGTTGTTCCTTTAAAATTCGAAATACCGTTCTATGATCAGCATTTATCTGGAAAGCAATCTTTCTAGTACTGGTAGTAGGTTGTTCTTCAATCAAATTAAGTACTGCTTCCTCAAGCTGTGGTGTTCGTACTTCTCGATGGCGACCACAATCCTGCATTCTTTTGTCGAATGAACCATATTCTCGTAATCGTTGATGAAGTCGAGCAAATATTCTATGTGAAGGATGCTGCCGTTGACAATACATTTCAGCATATCTTCTAGAAGCGTCCAAACCATTCCCCTGCGACAGACCGTAAACGTAATGCATATCAGCCATTTCCTCATTTGTGTATGCCATTTCAATAACAAGTGAATTATTATAATAACAAATTGTGAACAGAACAACAACACAAAATTAGTATTAATTCAATTTCGAAAATTCACAAAATGACAGCGTCATACCAATTGAATTGTCACTATCGCTAATAGCGACCTACTATATAGATTAGTTCGCATTTATGACGATGTATCTCTGTAGTTTTTCGTAAAATAATTTTTTGCTGCGAACTGGTTTATTTTGGGCAAAAAACTCAAGAATTTTTTGTTTAGAATGAAACAGGCTATCGGAAATAAATTTTTAAATGGAAAACAAATAATAAGACAAAAAGTTACATTGGAAATAAATTTCAGGGGTTGCGTTTTCCACCCCTTACAACCATGGGGTAAACCAAATAAATTTCTGGCTAAGTGTCTTTTTGGTAGAACAAAATGTCAGGTTAATTTCAATATTGTAACTTTTTTATTGCTTATGAAAAACATTGTACCCCTTTCAAGGAGCTGTATCTTAACAAGGGATGCTCCAATGAAATTTCTTGATATGAAAGATCCCATCTTTTTTTCGATGAGCAATCACCTTCTCGAATGTTTTACACTTATTTAGTTACACCCTGTTTTTTTTTCTGAAGACATCAATAGATACATTCAATATATTTCAAACCTTAACAAATATTTTATAGATATATCCATCTGGTATACTGTGTTTTTTATTGACATATTTTCCATGACCCAGGGTTTTTTGCCTCTAGTTTGAGTGAGTTCTTGTGCGATCGCAAGCATTTGCTGATATGCTCTGAGGAAGTTCTTTTCCTGGTGATGCCGCTCACGAATTGAGTGCAGCAGAGATTCATACAATATTCTGCTCCTAAGGTGATGATAAGTCGCTCTTCAAATGCACCACCTAGTCTCCTAGGTTTGTCAACCAGGATCAAGAGTTAGAGAAGTTCTTGCTCTCAACCGATGTAGCTGGAAGGACAGTTTAGATCATTAGGTCGACATCCATCTCCAACCTAGTGTTGGATACTTTGATCACTTCAAAAACCCTTCACCACTGTGATAAACGAGGCTTTGTATGACTAGAGGGCGCCCAGTATCCCGAAGGCTCCGTGGAGTGGACTCTGAGCCACACCTCCTTTCAGCATAGATACACACGTCTTAGGATGAGGTATTATTCAGGAGGAAAGTTACCTCCACGGGTGACATCTCACCCAGCATGCGTATTTTTACTTGATAATATGTTTTTGATCACATGATATACACTCACAACCTAGGAAGTTCCTGTTTCGGTTGCTCCATCTCTTGAATCTAGTTGAAGGAAAATGATTCAGAAGAAATTTCGAATTCCCAGTACGCAATGATATCATCGAATATAAATAAAAAGACTAAATCGAAGAATGGATCATTCATCATTCAAATACAAATAATTTTCGCGACGAATCATCTCAAAATCAACATATTCTATATCTATCAATATATCTATATCCCTATATACACTTTTTTGAATATGAGGTAAATGATGCATGATAGTAACAATTGAAACTATTCAATTTTCATCATGTTTCTCAGTGGTACTTCAAAGTGACAGTCGTGTATTGGTTGATGAATAGTGAATACTTACGATGCCATCAATTTATCCATCTTTTTTTCCATGAAAAGTACCTCATCTGGATTTTGTTGCATCATGACTTCACAAAATAACCTCTTGGAACATGGAGTATCTGACCAGAAGTGAGCAGCAGATAATCTTTTCAAGTGAACATCTTTCTCCACAGTATTAGCCAGGTCTTGCATATAATACTCATCTTGGATATTTCTTCTGAATCGTTTACGTTCCTCCTCCTTGTTTTGTTTGGGTTCTTCCATTATCACCAGAATGTCGTTTGGGTTCACGTCATGGAAGGATCGATATTCGATGGGGTTCAAAAATCGTCCCACAGCTGCGGCACCCAAACCTGAATAGGAAATGAAAATGTTATTGCTGCTGATCTGTTAGCCTTTGAATCTATTCACCTAATGCTGCTCCTCCAGCTACTAGACCCAACGCAGGAAGAATAACAGATGTACCAGCCGGAGTTATGACACCAACTTTGTCTTGAGCCTGCTGCGGGTTATTGGAAAATCCTAGATTTTTAGATATCTTCTGAGTAGCTTCTACTATTGGTTCAAATACTGGACGAGTGAGTTGCTGCATGCGCTCTAATCCATTCTGCATGTTGTCTCTTATGCTTTCCGTTATTTTGACCCAAAGCGGCTGTTCTGTTTTGGTTTTGATGTAATATGTGTTATATGGATAATTGATAACGTCTTTCCTGGAAAATGAAGAACAAACTGTTGGACACGTTTCTTTATTGAAACCGTGTGAGGATATCCATGTCCACTTTCGCATCACAAACATTCTAAAGACAATATCGTGATCTAAAGTTGAAATGTGGATAATATTATTATTTATAATTATTATTGATACATAAGTTTTGAGTATCAACTGAAAATGGAGTAAGTGGAACCTCGTTGAAAATGGTTTGGATTTTGGAAAAAGATCTACTGGTTTGAAAGACATGGAAAATGCAAACTATTCATTAACGTTAGAATCAAGAATGATATCACAGAATAGTAAAACTGGACGGCTCCTCATGTTCACTAAGACATCATAGATGTGACGTCATGAACATACTTTATGACATCAGCGAGAGTTTTGGCGCGAATTAAAATTTGAATTAAAATAGCAATTTTTGTGAATTTCATTGGTTCGGACTTCCATTGTCTAATATGTTCTGAAATCCCTGAAAATTTGTTGTCAAGCTACCAAGCTTTTACAGTTTCCAGACATATTATGATTTCTATAAAAAGTAAATACTTTTGAACATTATGAAATTGCAATGATCAAAATCGTTTTCATTCAGTTCTTGCACTAAGCGAATCTTATACGAATGGAGCTTATACTTTTTCAATGTTTGCCAGGCTCTTATATGACTCAGGAAGGTCGTAGTGGCCAATTTTGTACTGAGTCTACCATCCATTAATCTCAAGAGCAAAAATCAGTGGAAAGCCCTTTTTATTGAGGAATCAATTTGAACTCATTTCTATTTTAAAAACTTCAACCTCCTTCCGTCATTGGGGAATTGAAGTTTTGCAATCATTCTTAGAGCAAATCTTAGCCCCTTCAGCAGCTGAAGCTGCTTTAACCAACGTCAGGAGTCATCTTGAATCTGAATTTAATTATTGAAGAAAATAACTCTCAGCCTTTCCCTTTTTGGAAGATTCCCACATTTATTTGTATCAAGATGGAGAAGTAGAAAGTCAAAAACTTTATTTCCCTTGAATTAACCTCTCCTAAAGATGTAACCCTTTCAATTTTATGAATGAAATGATTGTTTTTTATTTATAATGTTATCCAGATTTGATACTGAAAAGCTGATGAAGCAAGTGTCTGACGGCGAAACCTCGGATGTCTCAGAGTGAGGATGACAGTGTTCCATGAGAGTGAAATTTTACCTCTTACATTTACTATATTTTGTAGGAATCCGGTGAATGATATCTGATTCAATTTCATAACGAATGTTTGGAATACAAACTGAGCATAGAAAAATGTTTTTTATATAATTCAGTGTTTATATAAAAGAATTTGTGTATTTCAATGTTTATATAAAAGTAGCTGTTTCGAGAGGGGTTTTTCTTCCAGTTTGTGTCTGAAAGTTACTTCTTTGCATGATCCATACACCTTTGTATAGAGTCACTTTTTTTAAATTGATTGCTTCCTTTCTTTCTTTGGGAGATTCACACAGGTTTTGTATCAAGATGGAGGAGTAGAAAGTCAAAAACTTTCTTTTTTTTCAATTACTTTATTTAAAGTCGCATCAATCTCCCGGATTATTAGCGACACTGGAGGTTTTTTCTCAGAAATTAACCTCTCCTGAAAATATAACTTTTTAAATTCAATATAAGGATCTTCAATGAACCAGATGGAAATGTAGCACAAAGTTTTGAAATAATACTGCAGACATGGGCTTTCGACAAGTTCAAATCATAAACACCTCTTTCATTCAAAGTTATTCAGAGCTTTGGTATCACTTCTGGTCCTGATAAGATACAGTCCTTTTTTGCATCGGTATATTGGTCCATCCTTTACTGACACTTCTCAATCTTGCAGTTAAAAATAATAATTTTCCTGAATTATGGAAGATATCACGAGTTTGTCCCATTCTAAGTCTGAATTCGGAATTATCGTCCTATCTCAATCCTATTGTCGAAATTGTCATCTACAATCGCGTACATTCCTCAGTTTGTAATATCATATCTCCGCAACAACATGGATTTATGTCAAACAGATCCACCATAACAAATTTAATTATATTGACCCAAAATGTTAGTGATGTCTTAGATAATCATGGTAAAGTTGATGTGATATATACTGATTTTGCTAAAGAATTTGATCGACTTGATCACATGATCCTTCTACAAAAACTCCACCAATTTGGTTTCCATAATTCAGCAGTACTTTTCATTAAATCCTACTTACTTCAACGCGAACAGTTTGTTTCTTATATCGGCTATAATTCTTTTTATTACAATCCATCATCTGGAGTACCTCACGGGTCGAATCTCGGTCCACTTCTGTTCTCATTATTTATTAATGACCTCAGTAATTATGTCGATTGTAATAAGTGATTTTTCGCAGATGATTTAAAAGTATATCTACTTGTCGAAACTATCGAAGACTGTAATAAATTGCAACGACAGTTAGAAAATATACAGACTTGTTGTGAAGTGAACAAATTATATCTCAATGCCATCCAAATGTAAAGTAGTGTCTTATAGTAGGAAAATGTCAGTCATCGAGTACAATTATCGAGTAGATACCATTTCACTGTCACGAAGTAACTCAATTAAAGATCTTGGTGTATATTTTGATCAAAATTTGTCTTTTTCCACATTAGATCGAAAGTAAGTGAAGCATTGAGAGTTTATGGCGTCATAGTTCGCAATTGTAGATCTTTTTCAAACATATCTGTTCTATTGACTCTTCATGTAGCCTACGTAAGGTCAAAATTAGAATACGGCTCTGTTCTATGGTCTCCATTCTACAATTGCTATAATACATTAATTGAAAAAGTTCAACGTCGTTTCCTGAAGTTCATTCACTTCAAATCTTATGGTATCTATCCTGATAGCGGTATTCCATATGAATCTCTTACCATAACATTCAATATTGAAACTCTCTTGAATTACGCAGAAAACTTGCTGGAATAATTTTTCTGTATAAATTACTGCACAACAATGTGGATGATATGGAGGTGTTATCTTTTATAAATTTCTGTGTGCCTTATTTTAGAACTAGAAGTACACAAATTTTTCACAGCCGACTGGCCAGAACCAATTTGTATCTCAAGTCACCTATCTTTAGCATTTGCAATAATTTCAATTTAATTTCAAATTTGTGTGATATCGATTTTAACTGTTGGGTAATAAAGGCTATTATTATTATGATTATTAATATAATCATTATCATGTCAAGCAAATCGATAATATCACAAGCTTAATTTAATTGAGAAGGAAGAATTCACCCATTAGAACCAGTCCTCAGTTCTCTCAATTCAAAGTATTTATTTATTCAATATAATGACTGGTATATGAAGTAAAAATCCCATCGAAAGGTTCAACAAGGTCAAAATTACCAGATATTGCTTGGTTTTTTCCTATATATACATATAATTAATTTGGCAATAACATTGAATAACTTAACAAATATTTATTTTCAGACAAAGTATATTCTATGATGGATACTGTAATAACTTTGAAGGTAAAATATGTAGATGAGTTATTATTGAAATATTTTTTTTAATCTGAGATGTCAAATTATTGACGTGAATAATTTCATTCAAAAACTCAGTCAAAGACAATTATTTTTATATAAATTGAAAAAACTATGATAGCAATTTTTTTTTAAATTTGTAATATTCAATATACATTTCATTAGAATGTCTTTATGTTAAAAACAGATGAGGTTGACAATAACTATTTGGGTTACGGGACACAGTAATAAGTTTTTGTAAGACCTTACTTGTAATAGTTCAAACTGTTTGTATTGTCGTAATATTGAGACTGTCGTCCACTGTCAAAAGAGTAAGGGTGTTTCTCCTTGTAAGAGTCTCTGAAGTCTTCTTCCGGAGTAGCCTTGGCAGGTTGAACCCCCAGTTCCGGATGAGCGTACTGGAGTACTGGAGTTCTTACTCCTTCATTGAAAGTTACTGGACTGAGTTTACTGGGCGGCGAGTAAAGGGCTGAATTTGGATACGAGGTTTCTCCTAAACAAAAAGCGTTTGTATAATTTTTGGGAAAATTATAATATGGTAAGTATTATTTATTAATGAATCGAAGAGGTTTTGTATTAAAGTGTATAATATTTTAAAATTCTTGCAAAGCGCTTTCGACTTTCGTCATCATCAGTGCTCACTTGTCAGGCAACAGGAAGTATCAAGATATATAATTTTTTATAATTTAAATATTACAATGTACAATTCACTTATCTTGATACTTCCTGCTGCCTGACAAGTGAGCACTGATGATGACGAAAGTCGAAAGCGCTTTGCAAGAATTTTAAAATATTATACACTTTAATACAAAACCTCTTCGATTCATTAATTCAAATAAGTGTATTCAGCTTTTCTAAATCCTTTTTTAGTATTATTTATAACACTCCAAATTTCAGTTGATGAGATGGAATTTTCTGAATATAAAATTATCACTTCGAAATCGTGAATCAGTTATAACAAGTCGCCCAAATCAAAGTGGCAATATCTAACTTTCAAAAAATAATGAAAAATCTGAAAATCTAGTTATCTTAGTATTGTATTAGACGGAAAGGCAGAACAAAATATACAATAATCCATGATAGATAGATAGATAGATAAATTTATTAATCTTTTAGATGTACAATAGTAATACAAATAAGATAAGTCAAATGCACAAAGTGGAATAAAAAATATAAAGTTATCAATATAAAATGCCTAGTTACAGTTCAGGAGTTAGCAAACATTGCATCACACAAGTAACAAAATTTTTAGAACATGTCAGCTTTAATTACTAGCCAATGGTTCGTGTTGTATTGGATAGGACAGCTACATACTCATCAGTAGAGTATACACAATTTGTTATCAAGAGATCTTTTATATATATATTGAACATGAACTGATTTAGTTCTTCGACATGGGGAGGTAAAATATTGTAGAGGTTAACATCAATTGAATTCCTCTTCGATTTTTGTAGTCTGAATCTACTTGGCCTTAATAATTCACATCCTCTCGTGTTATAATCATGGAAATCACAATTTCTATTTTGTGTTAATTTATTTTTATGAATGTCTTTCAAAAGTTGATATGAATAAATAGAAGGTACCGTCATTATTCGCCTGATGATATCAGAGATTGTGCAAAATATATTTCTCAGTTATGTTACGAATATAACGAAAACTGAAAAGTTGTTCACTTTGTATTTCTACCCAATTGGACTGATGAAATGATATTTTAAAAAGGAAAATTCCTCTTTGTTTCTGTTACAGAAGACGTCAATAAATGAAAATAATCGGAAACATATCAAATTGTTTACTATTATTGAATAAACTAATTAATTTACCGTAATTCGTACTTATTATTGAATGGTGGAGGTCCTCGATAACTTAAGGTTCCATTACAAAACTCTTATTTTAAAGTAACCCCATGAAGAATCATAACCATCAATTTGCAAGAAGTGACCGTGATGTAACCTCGAATACGTTACGTTACGGCTAGTGGAGGCGAGGTACTGCTGCATGTTATCCGTAACCACTTAGATACTCATGAGTTTTACAAACCAAGCCACTATGTAGGTGTTTTTACCGTCGCATCAAGAGACTATTACGTTTAGCATGGTGACATGTTGGGACGCTTATCTTTGCTTCTTGCATGTTTCGTTCCGTAAACTCGTTCTGTTACGTTACGGAATAACTGACAGGGCCAAAACTCAAAATTCTTCTAGATCAAACAGCGTCATCACGCAATGAACCAAACAATTTCAATGTTACGTTACGGTGCAATGAAATATATGCAGATATTGAGAGATATTGAGATATTGTGAAACATTTGGTGGCTGGTGTACCAGCTAGAAGACATAATTCAACGTCATTTGGCAATGATTGATGAGAGAGATGAGTGAATCAATGTTCTGGATCATTTTGAGTAATCTCTTGAAAAAGATTTATTTTGTACGGACGCTTCATTAGTACAATTATTCACTTTAAATATAGTGGTGATGAATCGAGTATCATATATTCCCTTGGATTTTTGGTGAACTGTCTGAAAGTCTTTCCATTTTTTTGTTAACCGAGATAAAAAACACAACGAAAACACTTACCTGGATAGTAGAGCATTCTCCTTTGAAATTGCTGTGGATTGTGTTCTTGTTCGTAAGATCTGAGCTTCCTTCTGTTGAAGTAGTCCTTGGAAGACTCTTTAGCGTTGATTTCCCTAATATAGTCGATCAGTTTGGAGTCGGTAGCTTTGGAATTATCAGCTTTAGTAAACGGTCCAACGCCTTGGCCAGAGCTACTGAAGCGGACGTACGACTTGGTCTCTTCTTCGGGTTTTGGAGCCTTTACGTCTTTATTATCTCTCACACTGAAAGGCCCCATAGGTTTTTTATCGCTCTCTACGGGTTTCAAATTGTCATCTTTAGTGAAAGGGCCTATGGATTTCGTCTGGGATTTACTCAATTGGTTCTTGTTCGGATATATTAGCTCTCCAATAGGAACAGCTGCTGGAGGTTTGTAACCTTTCTCGTAAGGTACCAATTCTCCGTTGATAACTCTGGCATTTCTCCATGTTTTGGTATCATTTGGATCATCGGGTACTCTCACCCCGTGGATTACTGGGATGCCATCTTCGTCGATGTTCATTACAGATCTTCCCCTTTTGTGATCTTTTTTGTTGTTTTTCACGAGTATTTCGTCTGATCTAATGTTGACAGGTTTTGGAATAACATTTGGTATTCTGGAAACAAAATGTGCGAAAATTCATAGTTAATTATCAAATCATAAAATGGAATAGTTTTGATTCGGTTGAAAAATAAAATTCTGTAATATAAGAATATTTTTCTGGGGATTTTTGCGAATGGAAGAGGAGGGGTGAACTCGATGTCTACTTTTCCTTTACTTTTATAAATTTTTTAACAACCCCCCACTTTTATAATTTTATAAAAAGTTGGAACCATAAATAATCTATATTATACCAATCTTTATACATCTTTCAATAGAAAAAGGAGATAATGATAAGAGTGTTCAGGTAAAATTGTAATGTGTTTGGCGTATTCATTTGAGACCTCAGCGAAATGAGTGGATCGATATTCTCTCAGACGGAGCTTTGAAAACCCAAAAGCGAAATGAAGACTCTTAGAAAAGGCCTTGAAGAAACAGCCAAACAGAAAAAGATTAACTCAATAGGTATTGGATAGAAGCTAATGAGTGCGCAAGATCCGGAGGATTATCAACTTCTTATGTGGGTTCACAAATAGATGGAGCTACCTAAATATATGTTACAATGGATCAGGAAATGAATCAATAAGGAGCATAAAGAGGATTCTTTCCATTACTGTTTTCTTACTCGGCTCGACTCGATATCATTCCCGAAGGATCTGAGCATGTATTTCCATGGAAAAAATGATTTGGTAGTCTCCATAGAGGTATTGAAACGTTTTCCTTCAGTATTCATCAGAATAATATATAACTGGATATATCCATGTTATTGAAAATATTCGAAGAAGTTTTTCCAGAGAGCCCATATTATTGAGAATTTGAATGATGCACATTTCCATTATAATCAAGATCATAATATACTTTCATTTGGTTCTTATGTTTGAACAACGATTGAAGGGGTTATTTTAATGAAGGAGCTGAAAAATATAGAAGCTGCTAATAATCTCACAAGTATCGACCACGATATTTTTGTTCGAAAACCAAGGTCGTTCGTCTGGAAATGTCTGGAAATGTTCCGCCCATTTCTCTCACTTCATTTTCCGAGTCCTCACAGGAAATTCCTGAGCAAAATGTTGTCTAAATGACAAGCAATTTATCGAAATGTTCAGATTATCAAAGTAGTCATTTCGAAATATTCTCAGCTGGAAGAACATATCACTTCTTCGAGTAGAATAATCGCTAATGGACGAACTTTGTACACTTCCAAACTACTTATTTTGCATAATACGGCAATTCATGTTTATTGTCACAGGCATCAAGATAACTTTTACATTCCCAATTTATGGCTGGAATGTCATGATGAAGTAATAGTATCTAGATATGAGTTCAACGAACTGAAAATCACAATCAAAAGTTCCCAATCTCTGTTCCTTCCAAATTCAATTTGAAGCATTTTACTGGAGATTTGAGAACCCTGGAGAACATATTATTTATGAAAATATCAATAGTTATCAGCATTATTAGTGAATGATCTACCTAGATTATTTAGATGATGCCAACTCAGTTGGTAAAACGTCAGCCTGGAAGTTCTAGCGTGTAACAGAGCTAGTTTTTGTTTTGCATCATATACTCGTTATTATGATTTCAGAAAATCGAATGTTCGAATCTTCTTTAAGAATTGGGGAAAGAGAATAATTGATGTTATTTTTAATTTCTTAAATAATTTAGACTTCCCAATATCATCAAGAACGTCATGAAAAATACTCTAAAATTCAAGTAAAAATAAGTCACTGCATGATTACTTCGCTAACTTCATTTACAATTTTTTTATTACCCTCCTTGGCATCAAACCGGAGTTTATTTTGCCATAGAAATTTCGAAATAAATCGAGTCACTATATTTTATGTTGATATATTAGATCTGATTATGAATGTTAGAATTATAGTGTATATTTGTTCATTGAGTGTACCTGAAAGGACTGCTATATTGGTTGAAAATTAAATATTTGAGGAACGTAAATTATATCTAAGAAATCGGGCCGATACAGTTCGGAAGTTGGGATATAAAATATGGGCTGAAATGACCCGGACTATAAAAGAAAACTAATTTTTGTTCAGCAATTTCAGTAATTTTCCCTCCATTCGAGCGAAATTTCTTGGCGTGAGCATTCTTTGGGTTCTGGGGTCCGCGCACATCCCAAAATACCAAGGCCATAACCTTTCCAGCCGACTAGATTCACCAGTTGTTGTCCACTCAGATAACGATCGTTTTTATTCCTGAGAGATGTAATGGGTCCATGTTCCATCCATTGTCATATATCGATGCAAAAATGCCGGTTTTTATGTTTGAACATGGTCAAATACTGATCAAAATCATCAAGACGTCTCTCATAGTCAAGTTCTCATGCAATGTAAAGTCAACACGTTCTTTTGATTTCCTTACAATGTCAGCTAACTTACGCAACTTCACTTCTCGATAATTCTAAACGATTTTGTGGTTTTGTTTATGTTTTCTGGTGTTACTGCATCATTCGGACGTCCTCTGCGTTCTGCATCATCAGTGTTTCTACGACCACGTTTGAAGTCAGCAATCTAACGTTTGATTGTTGTCTCTGATATGGCGAAGTCGTCATAACACTTTTCAAGCAATTACTTTCCTTGAAGCTCCATCAAGGACCAGTGTTTATCGATGGTATGGTGAATTGAATCGTGGTCGTGGTTCACTCCAAGACGAATTTCGTGAAGGTCGTCCAAAATCAGTTGTTGTTCCGAAACTGTTGTGTTGTGCGCAAACTGATATTGCAAGATCGTCATGTGACCTAGCGTGAGATTGAGACAACCTTAGGCATTGGTGTGACCAGCAAACATTCAATATTGCATAAACATTTGACTGTCAAACAAATTTGTTCGCGTTGGATCCCACACAATTTGTCAATCGCTTAAAAAAGGTTCGTGTCTATTGGTCGAACGAAATGCTCAAAAAATAAGATCACGGTGCTTCGCAACACGTCTATGACATTGTGACAGGTGATGAATCGTTGATTTACGCGTATTAGCCTGAAAGTAAACAGTAGTCGACTGTATGGGTGTTTCGAAATGAGCCAAATCTAACAAAAGTTGTTCGCGCACGAAGCACTTCCAAGCAAATGGTCGGAAAAACTGGACATGTTGCAACCGTACCACTAGAACAACGCTGAACAGTCACAACCATTCGTTTGCCAGTTGTCTTCCAAGAAATCAGGAAAACCAACCGCCAAAGACGGATCACTCTTCACCACGACAATGCGAGCTTTCACACATCGGCTCAATCAACTGCATTTTTGACCACCCAAAACGTCGATTTGATGACTCATCCGCCGTATAGTCCTGACTTGGCACCGAATGACTTCTTTTTATTCCCGTAAAAAACAAACTGAGAGGTCAACGTTTTTCGATACCTGAAGAAGCGGTTGCTGTATTCAGAATGCATGTTTTGGAGATACCTCAATCAGAATGGCAAAAGTGCTTCGACAATTGGTTAAAACGCATGCAAAAGGATATAGATCCTCAAAGGGAATATTTTGAAAAACAATAAAGTGATTTTCGATGATTAATATTTGTTTTTATTCTCTAATCCCGAAATATAAAAGGCAGCCCTCGTAAGGCTAGGCTGTGTGTTAGGCCCGAGACTTTCCAGCCCATGTAGTAGGATGTGATTTATGTTCGCTAAAGTACCATTGTCACATGAGCATAATGGGTTTACATCAATGCCTATTTTTGCCCAATGTACAGGAAACTTACCATGGTTCATTTTCATTGGTGTGATGGTAGTGGCGTATAACCTTGAAAAGTTTAAGTTATCCAGGTGGAGGATACCTTTGGAAAGATTCGTTTACAATATTCTCACAAAAAAATGCCACTCAAAGTTGTTACCAGTCTATGAACAGAACAATAATAATGCCGTTAACAACCTTTACGCTCAATGTTGCTAAACGCAAAAAAAATAATTTCGTCAACAGTCTAAAATATTAAAAATCAGTTACTTGAAAATACTATCCACTCTTCTGCTCTTGAATAACTCTATGGATAGTTTGTTCGTTTGAATGGAGTAAATCTATGGTACTCAACGACTAGTCAATATCATTCAGCTGTGAAAAAACGCTGAAAATTATTCATGCTACTAGTAGTAGAAGACGATTTCGATATTGATTTCTTTTGAGAAGGTTGAGGTCCCAGCACGGTGATAGATTTAGCGTCACTGGTGGATGAGTCCAATTATATGCAAGCCTACATTAAAAACAGTGTTCGAATCTTACACCATTTTCTCCAATACATTCTACGATAGAAGAAGATTAAATGGCGTATTTCAATTACGCGTGCAATATTTTCTTCGATGGAAGAAACAATTTCAAGTAACTCACGTGATTGAAAAACTTTATTGATTTCATCTACATAGCATAATATATAATACTCGTTGTTTGCAGTAACTTTTGATTACAAAGAGAATGAGTTGAACGGATATCATTGCTACTCACGAGCAAACAACCTTTTAATACCAGATAATACTGTCGTGTTTATAAGACAGCAATTTATGATGATTGTTCTGTCACGACCAAGGAATATACTTTATTAGAATACAATTGGTAACAATTTCCTTTGATGTTTATTCTTCTTAGCTTATCGAGTTTCATTTGTAGGTAACATAATAATCTTCGTATTATGCCAAGTGTTGTGGTTTCTGATTTTCATAAAAAAAAGATAGTCATTCTAATCTTATTGACAAAAGAGGTATGACTCAAGTGAGATACTCCATCTTCGATGAATAGCAGTGAATGAAATGAAATCAAATAACGAAAAGCAATCACAAACCCCCAGCTGATCCAAACTAAATACCAAACCAGAATACCTCATTAACTACTCATCAGAAAATCTTCACTGATGCCTCCAAATCAACTGGTAGTGTATGATGTGCATTCGTAACGAACGACTATTTTTTTACATGAATCTGCCACTATTATGACTTTTATGCCATCTATAAAGTTCTTTCTAACATTAAAACGGCACCTAGTAAAGAGTTTCTGATGATTACAGACTCTCTCAACCCCCTTATTTCTTTGTCGAAAATATATTTTTATAAGTTATTAACGAAAAACTAAATACCATTTTTTTATCTTATTTTGTTAATAACAATTGCAATTTTTTACCTGCACCAAAATCCTTCAAAAACATTTTTGTAGAGGTGATTCCGAATCGAATGAGCTATCGCTCATATTTTCAGGACTTTCATCTCTATTTTTATATTTTCGAACTTGTTAATTAGACTACTAGTGAAGAGAGAATCGCTACCAGAATATTCCACGTGTGAAATGCCTGTGATTCTTAGGCATGTTCTGGTAGATTGCCCGGTCCTCACAATTTTCCGAAGTTACAACACGAACAATATCATTGAATTCCTTGAAGAATATAACATTTCATTTAAACTGTAACGCAAACAATTGCAACAATTGTTTCAGATATATTTTATATGTTTGCCGCTAATAGCTACGGCTGATGCGGTTTTTTCTAAATAAAAAAATGTTGAATAGAACTGGCCGATACTTGATGAAAATCCATATTGAAAAACTAATCAATAGATTTTATTGTATGATTTTCACTAAAAGAGGGTGTTACAAAAACCGCGACACGTGTTTCGCTATACAATAGCTTCCTCAAGCATAAACTGAATGAAGACTAAAACAAATGTGACACTGAATTCACTAAAATGTCTGCGTCTGAAAAATAAATGTCAAATTCCCAATAGAAGTACTGACAATAATGAAGAGAATGCCAAATGGAAGAAACGAATAGAGACACTCTGACACACCCATCAACTTCTTCATTGGCTGTGATATCTGAGTGTCGTGGCACCTTGTGTAGGAAAAGGAATATTTTTTGGGAAAGATTAGTGTTTGGAAAGAAGACTATTTTCGCTTTTTTCTTCTCCATCAATATGCCGCGCTATTTCATATCGCATTCTGGAATATTCTGGGGAAAACCTCAAAAAACTGAAAGAACTGTGAAAATAAATGAAGAGAAGATTTTACTCACCTATCACTGTCAATAACATTTCCCAATCCTCCAGAAGCCACTGACTTAAAATCACTTGAATTCCTTACAACAGCTATCGTATCGAGTCTTATCAGTTTTGGCTGGTAGTATACAGATAATGGTATCCAGTTGGTTACCACTTGATTGGAATCGATGCTTCTGTGTTCTACATCTCTTCCATTGTTGTTTCTTTCATAGTTGTCTTCACTTCCATATCTTCTGTCGTGGTTATTCTCACCAACGTAAGTCTGGTAGTTGTACCTCGATGGTTGATAAGTTTGATCTCTCGTTTGAAGGTCTTCGAATCGTATGTTGTTATTGTACCTTGATTCATGATTTGGGACGTTATTCGAAGAACTTTTTTCTTTTCTCTTAACTATCAGCTGAGCAACGCTACCATCTCGTGTCATTACATTTAGAGTCTCCGTTTCCTCGGGATTGAGACTTCTTGAAACCTTCAGTTCCGTTCTTGTAACGGTTGGAGGGGATATTTTTGTACACAGCACCAAGAGGTTTATTGAAGACAGGAGGAGAAGTACCTGAAAAAACCATACTGAGAGTGAGTTTGTATTTTTTGTGTAATTTCAGATTATGGAAACATGGTTTCATTGATAAAAATTTTAGGAATGGTTATATAAGTTTGGTTCAGGGGATTTTAGGATGTGGTTTCCTTACATGATGGTACAGGATCACGCCGCAAAATCACTACGTTCATAGCGTAGTTAATCAAACTCAAATTTTTACATACATTTATGAATAGGAAAATACATTTATGACAGGTTGCCAGTCAAAAAGTGGCTGCCAATATTTTTATTTGAAAAAATCAAGCTACTGAAATACTTCATGTAGTAAGAGCCGGGTCAATTCCTCTACGAAACCCTTCATCACTTGTAAGGATCGATTGCAACTTGAGAAATGATTCTGAAGCAGATTCTGTGAAACTCTTACATTTATTCTTCAAACTCCAATCTGAAATGTTACTAATATCCTTTCGCTGATATGTGCAGTCTAGGGCTGTTTGGACTTATTTGAAGAGTTGAAAATCATTAGCGAAAAGAAGACAACCTATACAGGGTGATTCAAAAGTATTTCGACAAACTTCAGGAGGTGATTCCTCACAATATTCTAATATAAATTGTCTAAATAAATAAATGCCCGGAAACGCTTCGTTTCCAAGATACAGGATGTTGAAGTTTTATTTTTATTTTCGTTTTTTTCAAATAACTTTTGAAATACTGAACATGCTAGAAGTACGCCCAAAAAAGTTATGAATCTTTAAAAAAGAAAAAGACGTGTAGATGGCGCCCCCTACGAGTAAGAGCAATAAGAACATCAGGTTCGAATTCGACACCTCAAAAACCTCCTATTACCAAGTTTCGTTTAATTAAGTTCAGTATTTCAAAAGTTATTTGAAAAAAACGAAAATAAAAATAAAACTTCATCATCCTGTATCTTGGAAACGAAGCGTTTCCGGACATTTATTCAGTTGGACCATTCATATAAGAATATTGTGAGGAATCACCTCGTGAAGTTTGTCAAAGTACTTTTGAATCACCCTGTATATTTCAGAACTAACGGTAAATCATTGATAAAAATTATGAACAGAAGTGGACCTAGATTTGATCCTTGTGGTACACCTGACCTAGCTGAAAATTTATCTGAAATTTTTCAGTCATGTTTGACATTGAAAAACCGATTTTCAAGATAATTCTCCGTTAGTTCCAATTTTTTTTTTTTCATATTTTCTCAATTATTATGAAATTTGTACTTTATTTGGTTTCCCCGATATAGCCATTGCAATTACATAATTATATACATATAGATGGAGCTAAAGAAGTTTTACTTTAGTCGTGTAGTTCTAAGCACACTCGCTTTTTTAATTAAAAATATTTGCGGCCTCATTTTGACTGGCACCCTGTCGTAAATGTATTCTTCTATTCACAAATGTATGTAAAAATATGAGTTTGGTTAACTACGCTATGGACGTAGTGATTCTGCAGCGGGATCCTAGACTATGAGTGTTATTCACTCAACAAAAACAATTCTCATAGAATGACAATGAATGATGACATGAAATTGAAACTTCTAAAAATGTTCTGATTCAGATACAAAAGGTGTGTCTAGGCAAAAGAGGTTGTCGATTGAAATTCAATGATTTGCAGGGATACTTCAGTGAAAGAATGAATATTTGGCTACGAAAAATGTTACGTCCTACATTTTTTCAGTAATATCATTTTATTTCTGAGATATAGGTGAAACTGTAACACAACTAATTTTTGTTATCTTATTAAAGTTGTGAATCATTAAAATACCGTGTTGCTTTCCCCCGTTTTTTACATAGTTAATAGCCTATTACCCTATGACACTCGCCCAATTACGTATTCAATGGAATTGTACATCAATGTTAGTTATTAACTCGTTCCAACGTAACACCTACTACCAAATAATAACACACCCACAACCTCATAAAAAACTCCATGGCCCCCAGGAGAGAAGAAATAAAGAAACAACACGCATCTTGTTATTTATAATAAGTGTATGCAAAACACCTTCTGCGTAATGTAGTTACAACATAACATCGACACCTTACAATGAACAAAAATGCCATTGAAGTTACCGATCGGGACCGGCGACCGAAGAAAGTTGTTCGAGAGAAGTCAATAACTTCGAGTCTCATCACCTACTTTCACCCATTTAAAAATCTGATTTTGTCATCTTAGATAAAGAGTCGAAGAGAAAATGGATTAAACGTGAAACCAATATATGTGTGGATAAAAAGTGAGGATACGTTTATGATTTCACTGGTGTTTTGAGTCGGTACGTATCAGGGAATATTGGATATTATTTTATGTCTGTTTCAACAACAATGATGATAATAATATAGGTCTTATTTTCCATAACTGTTAGTGTTTAGGACGTAATCATAAAAGAATAATGGCCCCCTTCATTAAAATATATTTTATGAATGTTAAGGAATAGAAAATAATTGGAACTCAAAATAACAAAAAAACGAGATAACATATTTGCTTCAATACAGTTATTTTCGTTATTAGGAGCTTGATTTTTTATAGTTGCTGAGGATTGTATTTTATTTATTTTTATTTATTTATTTGAAAATAGGAAATCCTAATATAAATACAGGTCCAAAAAGGTAAAAATAGTATATAAAAATAGTAAGGCATAAAAACAAGTATTAGAGTGGATAGGTAATGAAATACCATTGTATCATATCACAATGTATCACGATGTAACACAATGTATACAGAACACATAAAAGCTCGAACCTATAAAATAATTCGATGATGTGAAACCTAAAAATTGAAAAAAGAAATTCAGAAAATTCATAGAGTACGTGATGTAATATACACACATCGGAAAAGTCTAGGGATATTTTTATAACATACTGAATATCATAAAAATAAATGTATGAGGTCGTTTAATTTCGATTAAATTGGTACACTCGACCACCCTGTAGATTTCTATGGGTTGAACAAAGCCTGCAAAAATGGTAACTAATCTTTTATCAAGTTTTTTACAAACTGTAGATTTTCGGCTAAAATGAATAATCTGAAAGTGTCGAGTTTGTACATTCTATGCAGTTCTTGCTCAGCAATTAAACTGGAAATATTGTGCTTTAACATGGAACGCCATCACTTACCATTGGCTGAGATGAATAGAGCTGTAGGGCTTCTTCAAGGTGGCATGCGACAAAATGATGTAGCTCCTTGTTTGGGGGTCTCCCAAAGTGTTATCAGTCGATTGTGGCGGCGTTTCCGTGAAACTGGCAGTCCAGCCGAACAACATCCAGGGCGAGGACGCGCTACAACTGCAGTTCAAGACCGATTTTTGGTCTTAACCGCAAGAAGACAACCGACAATCACAGCACCTGAGTTGGTTAACGTGTTGCAGCAGACGCACCAGGTAACCATTGGTCGTGATACTGTCAGAAATCGACTGCATGAAGCAGATCTCCACAAGAGAAGGCCACTTAGATGTCCACCTTTGTCGAGAGGCAATCGCGGTAGAAGATTAGAGTGGTGTCAAGAACATCAAAACTGGGATGCAAATGATTGGGCCACAGTTTTGTTTACAGACGAATCCAGATTTGGATTTCATCCAGATTCTCGTCGAGTAAGACTGTGGAGACGACCTGGAAATAATGAACGGTTGAGACACGTCCAAGAAGTCCACACATACAGAGGTGGTACAGTAATACTATGGGGCGGAATCATGATCGGCGGCAGAACCGATTTCGTTTTTCCAAATCGCTCCCTCACAGCTCGACAGAACCTCGACACCATTCTTCTACCTATCGTCCGTCCGTTTGCTGGTGCTGTTGATGAAAACTTCCACCTAATGCACGATAATGCTCGTCCACATGTCGCGCGTCTAGTGACTGACTGGCTCACCAACGAAGGAGTTGATGTATTGCCATGGCCAGCACAATCAACGGACCTGAATCCCATCGAGCATGTGTGGAACATGCTTCAACGAAGAATTACTCCGCATATGGGGAACATTCACACAACGTTTCAATTGAGAGAGCTTTTAATCGCTGAATGGGCAAATGTACTTCAACAAGACATTGACAATCTCATTTTGTCGATGCACGATAGATGTAGGGCCGTAATAAACCAGCGTGGAGGCCATACTTTGTACTGATTCCAATTTTTTTTGTATTATGATTTTTTTTCGGGGTGCCAAAGAAGAGCCATATTTTTTTTTTTTAGTTTTGCTTATATGCGCACTCAGTATTTTTGACCATTTAATAAATTTTGTTGTAAGTTACATTCGTTTAATAATCACCCATCAACTTTTTTTTCCCTAAAGCGATCTAAAAAAAATTATTGCCATTTTTAAAAATATCCCTAGACTTTTCCGATGTGTGTATATTTCCAACTGAGCCTTGAATGAATATAAGGATTGAATGATTTCAACCAGTTGAAGCTTTTCATAGTATTGGCAGATATAAAGGATAGTGAGAGGATTGTATTGTTTTGATTGCTCCAGTGATTGTTCCACCAAATCCTTCGAGAAGCCATTTTGTTGAAGTTTTTCCGATGTGTTATAGATATTGAAACCAATATTGATATTCGGAGTAACAATATAAGGTTTTAAAAACCTCATAATGACAAATAGATTCCATACAGATTTTTTCAAGAATTCTTTCAGCTACCAAATTTGTAAAAATTATAATAAAATCGAAATTCAAAATTTCAGTGAAATAATTTCTATTCACAAACCATCAAAAAAATGTTGAAATTGCGAGATGATGTGAACGGAATAATCAGATTGCTTATTTCTACTCCTATCCAAGTATCTTTGATTACATTACGTACCTTGATATTGTTAATTTCTTTTCATGTTTCTCAGAGACAATTTTTTAAGGGGAAGAACAGTTTTTATTTGACTTCGATTAAAGGAAAACTGATCTTTCGATGTTACAAGCATTACAGAAAAATCCTTAAGGTGCTCTCAGAGCGGTGCCTGTGCGAAAGTAGCGATTCACATTGAATTTGAATCGCTGAAAATCCATTGG